TTTTGGCCCAGTTTTCTACTGGGATATTTACATTTTTCTTAGTTTATAAAGGCTCTCTGGATGTTGTGTATAATGCTGTATCTGTCTACAAATATTGTTCCTTAGCTACCATTTGTCTCTTGGTTTTTATGTGTTTTGTTATCCGGCTTGGGGTGCTGGAGTGTCCTTCTGCACGTGGCTCCCAGCTTCCTTCTGTCCTAAGCGAAGAATTGGTTAAGACAAGCACAGATGCTAGCAAGGTCTGACAGTTATCAAAGGTAGGGAAAGAAACCGGCTCTGCAGAGTGAATCTGGCCCACATAAAAGTAAGAAATGAAGTGTGCTCCACAGCGCGGGAGTTGCCTACTCCGAAGGAATACGGTAGCGAGGACCTCAGTGTGGCCTCCTCTTCCTATCACATGCTTGGCATCAGGCTGAGCCTGTGCTCATGGACCGGCCGGAGTTCTCCCCGGAGTGAAGACAGCACTCTGCCACAGGGTCCGTGTAGGGCATTGTGACCTGTTCTGGGCATGCGACGCTTCCCATTCACCCAGCCAGAGGCTCCAAGGCCTCTAAGGGTTGTGCGTGTCAGACTTGCTATGTTTGATCCAAGTGCCCCTCTGGAAATTCTGTGTTATAGAGGTGGGACAGAAGACAGTGCTGGGAAGAGGATGGGGCTGGGTAAAGGGTGCTCCTCGGTGGGCCTGTGGGCAGAGGGAGTCAGGAGCCCGCTGCCCCTGCCCACCCTGGGTGCTGCGGTCAGCAACTGCTTGTGCATAAGCGCTGCAGGCCAGGGCTGGGCCGAACTCTCAGTAAAGGAGCTTGCAATACCTGCCTCCTACTCCGTTGTGGAACCCATGCTAGATCACATGTGTGAATGTGTCGTATAATTGCTTGTCCTTCCTGTATGTGTCACATGCAACCAAACATACTCGTATTTCCAAAATCCCCCTGACACCCGACTGCTGCTCCTCACTTCTCATACTTTATTTAGTACATTTCAGTAGCAGGTGACTGGCATTTCATGGGGCTTTAGCATTGCAGCAGACTAGCCGTGTGCCTGGGAGAGAAAGACAGCATTCTAATAAGCTTCGCATTCTGACCTTCCCAACATGGTGGCCTCTGGGTTCCATAGACCAGCAGACAGTGTGCTGGCATAGCATAGCAGGCAGGGTACTTGGTGTGGACCAGTAGTCAGGGTGCCTGGCATGGAGTAGTAGGCAGGCTGCTCAGCACAGACCAGCAGGAAGGTAACAGGCATGGACTATTGTTCCCCGGTCAGAGTTCTGTGTGGAAGGTCAGCGTGGTCCCTGCCATCTTCTTCTTATAGTGCTCGTCAAACTTCTCATTCATAGCCACAGTAAAATGGTTCTTCCAGTCTCCAGGCATTCCTGAAGGACCACAGAGAGTTTATGAACAGACGCTCCGACCTTTCCACCAACCTTCCCATCGTGGTTGGTCCCTCAGCTCCACTCCATCTTATCTTCCCTTATGGGTGGCATGTAGGTCCACTCCATTTGACCTTCTCAATATGGATGGTACCTAAGCCCTAGTCCATCTGACCTGCTCAATACGGATGACATCCACGTCCATTCCACCAGACTTCCACCATGGGACATATATACACCATATTGCATCTGACCTTCCCAAAGTGAATGATACTTACGCTACTGCACCTGATGCCCACACCGTGGACAACTTCTCTTTCCAATCCATCTAAACTTCCCTCCATGAACAGTTCTACTCATGACCTTCAATCACAAAGTACATGGCCAACTCAAGCTTTCTTTCTCAGATTCCACAGGGTGAGATGCCTCACTGGTCTGGACTGCTCTACTTTCTGTCCACTGGTGGCTCTGATACACCTCAACAGAGTCCGCATGTAGCTACTGTTGTGGACTTTGGCACTCTACTATGTGCTCCCTGCAGCACACTGACATGTCTTCCACTGCAGTTGGGCAAGAGCTGAGTGAAACAAGTGACACATAGCTCCTCACAAATGTCATCTGGATCCCAGTGATCTTCAGATTGTCCTTGGTGCAAATCTAATAATATGCAATAATGCAAATCTAATAAACCTGTGCAAATCTAATGGGAGGTTTCTCGAAATTCTCCAACTGCTTTATTCCTCCTGCTTCTCACCTCTGTGCAAGAAGATTCATCCAGTGTTTGGTAATAACGTAGAATTCTAGGATCTAACTCACAGCCAGTAGATTAGAATCTTTAGAGTGGGCTCAGAGCATCTGGGCTGTTGAAGACGATTTGATTGAGTTGGTGGAGTGGTGTCCGGTTCCCGCTAGAGGAGCTCCCTGCATGCTTCTTTCCTTTAACTTTGCCTGTTCTCTGTCTGTCCTGCGAACATGAGGGTTCCTCCCACAGGCACTCAGTCTCTACATAGATGCTTATTTGTTCCTCTGAGGTGTGAGCCCTCTGCTAGGCACTGCTGAACAAAACCGATGACAGTGCTCTCTAAGCTAGAGACGGACTGTGAAGACAGTCGTGACCACAAATAGTTACACAGCCATGTGCTCGGGGCTGAACCAGAGCTCGGAACAGAACCAGTGATGGCCCAAAGGAAAGCACGTCCAGGGACCTTGGAGAATGCAAGAGACTTCAGGTGAGGCAGGGTTGAGCCCATTTCCTTGTGTGCCATGGGCTGGTCTCAGAGGGGCCAGCAGGGCCAGCATCACCTGAGAACTGATCACAAGGCAAATCCCTGGGCCTTCTCTGACCTGCTGAGCCAGCTCTGGGGAGGGGGTGCCAGGAAGTCCTCTGGGCTCCGGTTATGCTTGAGTTTGAGAACCAGTGGCACTGGGTTTTACCAAGCTGCAGGCGAGGAGGGCGCAAAGTCCTACTTTGTACCTGACCATTGCTTCCCAAAGACCAGGTTTACACTTCTTTTCACTGACAAGGCAGAGCAGGGGGCAGAGTTGTGTTAGCACAAACAGTTACCAACCTTTCCTCAAGAATGGGGAGATGGTGTGATTAAAGATGTTGGGTGGAAAAGCGGTTTGATTGGCCATGGGATTTTCCTTCATCACATCAAAGGAGGTGTGGTGGAGGATCTTATCTATGGTGTCCTCTGACAGAGTTTTCCCCAGGAACTTCAGGATCTTGCAGATCTCCTGTCTTGGATTCTGACCAAGAGATAATGAGCATCAGCTGATGGAGGAAAAAGCTCAGCCAGCTCCACAGACAGCGGATCCTTCAGATCATCACTGACAGGGAGCTCTGCCTGCTAGACCCGCTGCCCTCAGCAGCCTTTACCTTTTTCAGGTCCTCGTAGAAGAGGAAGAAGATCCGGTGCTTGTCCTTGGCTTCCCACCAGCCTTTCACGTGGTCGTACCAGGACCCGTACAACACTGGAAGAGGCAGGGCACTGTGAGTCCTCCGCGCCAGCACCCCAGGCATGGAGGTCGTTTTATGTTCCTTTGAAATAAGCTTCAGAAAGCTTTATTCCCCTCCTTAGGAAGAGGAAATTCATTTTCCCTGGTAAGTGTCTTCCTCCTTGAGTTGGAAGCGGTGATTCACGTAAGACACTTACTGTGTGTGACCGTGGCCACATATACAGTGCCTTGGGAATTGCCTCCACTTCTTAAAGGCCAGAACTCGGCCCCTATTTCCGTAAGCAGCCCTCACCTCCACATCCAACCTCTGCCCGGACAGCCAGGTCCTGGTGCCCTCCTGCGGCTCTCCCCGACAGGGAACCTCAGGGCTGGCCTGAGGGCGGCAGCTGCAGAAGAGGGGTTCCTGCACAGCTTGTATTATCCCTGAGGGTTTTGCCAATGAGCTCAACAATGATAAACGTCCCTTCCACTTGTTTTGGAAATCGTTGGAAGCCCAAAGGAGCCCAGACCATGTATCTGGGCAAGCAAAGGACTCATTTGTGTCCCTGTCCTTGTCCGTGTCCTGAGTGGACAGGACCCGCAGGTGGTCTCTGTTGCCTGTGCCTTGGGCAGTGTCACAATCACAGCAGCAAGCTCTACCAAGGGTGTGCTGTGCTGTGAGCATCATGCAAAGGAGACGCGCATCGAGTGCAATCTGAAGTATAGAACCTGTCATCTCTAGAGGTGAAACCCAAGGCCACACAGCAGGGGGTGAAACGCTGTCTTTGGAGTCAGTATGTGGGGATGGGTGGGTGCAGTTGGCTGGATGCCTGGTCTATGGCCTGCAGACCCACCCACAGGAATGTCAGGGTCATGCAGAGGGGCAGAACCAACAGGAGACCTGGTGTGTGTGTGAGTGTGCACACAGGTCGGTGTTCACAGAAGTATGATTTATTTTGATGAATTAGGTCTTGGCATTGTGAGGCCCAGCCAAGCAGACATGTAGGTTGGGCTGAAACTCAGGTAGACTTCATGTTCGGTCCTGCAGCAGAATTCCTTCTGCCCTGGGAAGACTCTGCTCTCACTGTGAGGACCTCCAGCTTCCTGGAGAGGCCCCCATGTTGTGGAGGGCAGTGTCCTGTGCTAACCTCTGCTGTAGCTGTTAGTCTCATGTAAAAACTCCCCACAGAAACACACAGCTGCTCTTTGCTTGAAAATGAGCCCTGTGGGAACAGGGAGCAACACGACAGGGCTCGGGAGAGGTCAGGTGGAAGGTGCTCCTTCTCTTTCCCTTGCTTCCTCTCCCTGTGGCTCTGAAGCCCTAAGATGTTCTCTGCGTGAACAGGGTCGTGGGTCGCTCAGTGACAGACATCCTGAGAACCTGTCGCTAGTTGAGTCATCGTTGTGCCCAACTGCTGACTCAAACCCCAGGACTCTGGGGGAGAAGTGTCTAAGACTGCAGGTCATAACCCAAGAGAAGTCACTCTGCTGTGCCCTGTGCGACTCTTGTGACTGCTGCTCAGAAGCGACGTGCGACCGGACTAGCAGGAGCCTGTCTCATGCTCTGAGCTTGTCTTTGTATGGTCAATCAGCTCCCCCCTTATTTTTGAAGTTCACTGAAGATCACCTCCGGGAAGACTTTGGAGGATTTTTACCTTTATCCTCACCATACACCCTGATGGATCCCGGCTTATATCTTTATCCAGTTTTGGGGGAAAATTCCTTCTACCTGACCTCCCCAGCCCTGCATCCCCAAGACAAGGCCTGCTCGCTCAGGATGGCATTCAGTGCCACACACTCCCATTCTTCCCCAGACTCCAGATTCTACCCAGAAAGGATGGGATCCGTGCACCACGGGCAGGCTTGCACTCACGCTTTCCCGACATGAAGTCTTCACAGAAGTCCTCCCAGCTTGCAGGGGTGGGCAGGAAGGAGGTCATCCTGTGGAAGTGGTAGTAGGACACCAGGCAGTCTTTGGCATTTCGGGCCACATAGATGATCTGAAACCAAGGAGGGGGTCAGGCCAGGGAGGCACAGGAAGATGAGAGGGAGTGCTCAGGGGTGTTGTGATACAGAAACCATAGCTTATGCAGTGAATATTTCATAGACTATCAATGAACTGCTTGGGATTAAGAAGAGATCAGTGGAGCCTCTCTGCCCCTGCAACTCTGATACCCATAGGGAGTTCAGTGACAACAACGTGGGCCCCATCCTTACAGGGGTCACATGTTCTCGGGGAAGATGGGTGCAAGCTCCTGACTGAAATGGGTAGAACCTGCGGAGTTGCTCCGTGGGACGAAGGTACTGGAGACTCTGGGGTATTAGGGAAGGAATCTCAGCCTGAACATGGGAATGAGTGTTTCCTGGCTTCCACTGGAGAAGGTTTGGGGAAGCAGAAAGCATCTTCCTACATGTCACCTCACTCAGCTCCACCCCGCACTAGACCTGGTTAGGGAGAGGAGTGAGGAAGTCACTTAGAGCTGGAGAATGTGGGAGATGCTGATACCTAATTGTGATGTCAGCTTGAATAGGAAATGTCTAGCAGATTGCTTTAGTATGGCTCTGGATGTGTGGATGACTGACTTCCTCAAAAGGGAGGGTCCAACCTTGGCACGAGTGGCATCAACCAATAGGCTTGTAGCCCGAGTGCAATAAAAAGGGAAAGATAAGGAGGTCTTGCTTCTGCTTCTCCAGAGGAGCTCCACTTTTTGACATCATTCTTGGAAGTCTCCAGGCCTCCAGACGTGTCAGCCTCCCAGGATAGACGTTTGGCTTTCTGATGACTTGCATGAGACTGCAGCGAACTTCAGGTCTTTGACTTTTACCAGAACCTCCAGGCCTCTGTCACACAGACGGTCCATTTACATTCTTCCGCAGCTCACTCCGCTGGTGGCCTTCAGAAGCTCATCTTTTCAATCAGATATATGTGATTTTATATGACAGCTATTCCTCCAATGAATCCTAACCAGTACGGAATTTGGTACCAATTCTCGAGAAACTGAATTGCAAAGATGACTTTCTTTAATGGCTTTATTGGCTCCTGGTGTTGCTCTCTAATCTGCGGAGACCTAAAGCTGCCATGATCACTCCATGTGACACTGTACGGAGGACTAAGTGTCCTCGCTGTTGTTTCTGACTTATATCTAGATGTCCCCTCCAAAGCTTTATGCATTCATGAGGCAGGCTTAGGAGTTTATGATTCGTGGTCCAATGCTGTGATTATGGGTGTTCGTGCTACACCTGCCCTGGGGTGGAAAGCCTGCATACAGTACAAGGGAGGGAAAGAGGCTTGCTCTTGCTGCTCCTCCCTTTTTGCTCTTGTTGCTTTTGCTGTTTTCCACTGCCATGAGCTGTTGTCCTCTGCCATGTGCTGTTTTCCACTGCCATGAGCTGTTGTCCTCTGCCATGTGCCGCTCTGTCTTGGAGCCAGCCAAGTGTGGACTGACACCTCCAGGAACTGTGCACTAAATAAACCTTTTCTTCTCTAATTTTGGATGTCAGATATTTTGTCTCAGCAATGAGATAAAAGTAATGAATACAAGTGTGAACTCTTAAAGTAGTACACAATGCAGATCCATTTGATTATTCACCATTAGGAGATGAAAAGATCCTCAGTCACTCTGTGTATGGTACGTTTGAATATCTTTGGCACAGCAGTAAATACAGTGGTGCTCTCTGGTTGCTTTTAGTTTTGGTAAAGAAAACTGATGAGCTCCAAACATGAATAAAAACATAAAGTCTTCTAAACTTGAAGGCAAGTTAATGAAGGAAAATAATGAGCTCAAAGATTCAAGTTCCCCACTCCAAACACACATAAAGTAACCCCAAGTTTCCAAGCATATCCTGAGAGAATCTTCTCTCCTTAGCTGCAAGGCTGAGGTTGCAGAACCTCAAAGACCTTCATAATTCGGCCAGCTGAAATACAGCATAAATTTCCTCTTTATCCTTGAGGACTCTCTAATGTAAAAGTGGGTTGTTAATGCAAAATTAATGTAAAAGTTTGGAAAAAATAGGATCCCCTACATTGGGATGGAGATGTTTGGGAGAGTCCTGACAAAGCTGGGGACCCTGAGTGTCTAAGTCATAATGAGACTGTTTTTCCAGAGGAAGAGATTTCCCTGACTACAGAGGTGAAATCTCCCACCCCATTCACTCCCTGAGGTACTGGCCTCTCCTCCTACACCTGAGGAAACTAATCCTGTGTTACCTGGTACTGTCACCACACATTATCATGCTGGCGCTCCTCAGGACCCACCCTCATCTCCATTTTTGCCTCTTGGCCCATAACCAGGCTCCAAGCTCAGAAGCCACCTAAAAGGGAGGTACACAGTGTGGCCTGTGATGAGGTCCACTGTACCCCAGAGAACCTCTTGAGGTTTCTACTTCGGATAAGCAGAGGTCCGAGGAACAAGAATGGGTGTGGGATAATGTGGCAAAAACACACCTGGATCAGATTGGTCTGCTGATATGGACCGGTTACACAGAGATTCCAAATGTAGTGCTGTAGCTAGTGGGGGAAAGGGGTTCTAATAGTTTATTTTCCTGGTTGGCAGAAGTGTGGGTAGAAAGACGGCCCGTTGTACATGAGCTAGAGATGCCTGATAGGCCTTGGTTTGGTGTTGATAAAGAGGGTCAAATGTTCAGGGAACTGGGAATGCTGAGTGGATTTGTCATATTAAACCAGATTGTTCACACTGGGGTAATCTGCAAAATATGCCTCTATCAGCACTGTGAGAAACGGTCTTGTGAGGGGAGCACCAGCATCCCCAAGAAGCTCTGTCACTGCTCTCTCTGCACGCCAGCTCTGACAGTGGGGACCGGAGTGAACTGGGACTCAGGGCCATGGGTCCAATTGGACCCCAGAGCTGCGAGGGTCAAGTGGCGGCACTCGGCCACCAAAGACGGGGTGCACATAGGGACCCTAAAGGAGAGGAGAGGCAGAGCGATGATCATGACGGTCTCACACGTGTCGACCTGCGGCCTGGGCTGGTGAACCGTGTGGTGTTCCCATGATTGACACAGGCGGGAAACCCACCTTCGCCAGATTTACGCAGTTGGAAATGTTCGTGAACAGTGAGGAGACACTTACTGTGAATCTTAGTAACAGAGACTCGTGGCCCCTCAGCCTATTCCCAGATTTGAACCAACTGTCAGACCCAGAACTGCTTGAGTGGAAGGTGTGTGGGTGGCCTGGGGAGGACGCTGGTGCACTCTCAGGAGGATGTCCTGCCAGTGCTTCTCCCATCCTTCCCCAAAGCGACCTTAGGCCTTTGACTGGGGCGATTGTACACTGTGGAAAGGAAAATGATCAGACCTTTCAGGAACCACTGGACAGTGGTTCAGAACTAATATGATTCCAGGCTGTCCAAAACATCACTGTGACCCTCCAGCAAGAGTAGGGGCCCTGTGAAGATCAGGCAGTCAATGGCATTTTGGCAGAGGTCTGAAGCACAGTGGGTCCAGTAGGCCTCCGAATCCATCTTGTTGTTATTTCCCCAGCTCCAGAATGCTTAATTGGGGGAGATACACATAGCATCTGGAGGAATCTTCACATTGGTTCCATAACCTGTGGTTGGTAAGGTCAGATGGAAGCCA